ATGCAGTAAATGAATTCCATGAAATGATGGCATTACAGGTAGTCCTCAGTTTACAACCGTAAGTGGGACTGAACTTCAATCACTACGGCCGCCGTTCAGTGAGTCATGCCAACTTTACAATCTTTTTTGTTGTGCTCATTAAGCGAATAAGGCATGGTTGTTAAGTAAATCACATGGTTTGTTTGTTTGTTTGTTTGTTTTATTAAATTTATATACCGCCCTACTCCCGAAGGACTCAGGGCGGTGAACAGGCACAAAATAAAATACATAAATACAAAAGTTAGAAACATAATTAAAACCAAATTAAATAATTTAGCACAAGACAATTAAAAATCCCAATAATTTAAAACAAATTAAAATTTCAATTTAAAAATTTAAAAGAAAGGGGAGAAAATTAGGCTCCTACATGGTAGGAGCCGTGATGGCACAGTGGCGAGAATGCAGTATTGCAGGCTGACTCTGTTCACTGCCAGCAGTTCAATCCTGCCTGGCTCAGCTTTCCATCTTTTGCAGGTCAGTAAAATGAGGACCCAGATTGTTGGGGGCAAGATGCTGATTCTGTAAACAGCTTAGAGAGGGCTGTAAAAACACTATGAAGCGGTATATTGTTACAAGGATTCATGGATCAGGCCCAACAGCAAGACATGAGTCAGTAGATTAATTAAATCTCTTTTATTCACAGGATCATCTCAACAACACTTGCAACATCTGGATCTGAAGAGCGAGGAGGAGCGTGCCCACCTTTTATGCCAGAAGGCGGAGACTTAGGTAAGGAGGGGTTAGTGGGAGGAGCTGGACAGGTGGGAGTTTGGATTAACCCCTGCACTGCTGCACTATAGCTGACCCCTGGCACAGTTAAGGCATTTACCCTTGACAAATCCCCCTCTAAATGCCTAACATGTGTCTGTATGCCTGACTGATTGATTGGCACTCCGGGGCGGATATTGAGTTTGGACACTAGGTGTGAATGTTGTTTGCCCTGCAGTGGTTTTGTGAGTATGTCTGCAGTCTGTTCTTCTGTGTCACAATGAATGGCCTTTATGAACCCGATTCTGGAGAGCTGTCTTACGTGTTTGTATTTTATGTCGATATGTCTTGATCTTTGCCCTACGGCATCGGCCATGGATATTTCTATGGCGGCCTTGTTGTCTTCATAGATATTTATCGGGTAAGTTGGTTCTCTCCACACGCTGGCGAGCAGGTCGTCGAACCAGATAAGGTTGTTGGCGGCTTTGGAGAGGCATATGTATTCTGCCTCAGTGGTCGAGGTGGCTACCAAGATTTGTTTACCTGTGTACCAATGCACAGGGCTATTGTTCAAGTAGAATATGTATCCTGATGTGCTTTTCCTACTTTTGATATCTCCAGCCCAGTCAGCGTCGGCGTAGCAGGAGAGGACAGGTTCGTCAGATGCTTCTGGTTCTAGGATTAGGCACGCATTGGCGCTTTGTTTCAGGTACCTTAGTACCCTCTTCACTGCGTCCCAGTGGTATGTGGTGGGTCTGCCTACGTGTCTGGACAATAGATTAACTGATAGCGCAATGTCTGGCCTTGTCCAGTTAGCGATATACAGGAGTGAGCCTATGACTGACCTGTACAGCGTGTTGTCTTCAAACTCAGGTGATTCGTCATGCATGTTCTTCAGAAAGTCCGGTTGCATGGGTGAATCACATCCCTTGGCATCTGCCATGTTACATTTGTGGAGTAATTCCTCTATCTTTTCCTTTTGGGACAGTTGAAAGCCCTTGGGGGTTTCACTGACCTGCACGCCCAGGTACCGGTTTATTCTTCCTAAGTATTTTAAGGTGAAGTGTTCGCTTAGTCTGTTGGCGAAGGCCTTGCGATTCCTTTCGTGTTTGCTGATGTAGAGAATGTCATCCACGTATACTAGGATGTATTCTGGCGAGTCCCCCACTCTCCTGGTGAAGAAGCAGTTGTCGGCCACGGTTGCTGTGAATCCCATTGACTTCAAGACCTCAACCAGGCACACTCATACCAGCGTTTACCTGACTGTTTAAGTCCGTACAGACTTTTGCGAAGCAGCCAGGTGTCCCCCCTGTTGGTCCTTTTACTGTGTGGCGCCCTGACGTATATCTCCTTATCTAGGTTGGCGTGCAGATAAGCTGTCTGCACATCGAACTGGTGTACCTCTAGTCCTAGTAGGGAGGCGATGACCAGGGCACTTTTGACGCTCTCTGTCCTCACGGTGGGTGAGTAGGTGTCAGTGTAGTCCTCTGGGAACCTTTGAGCAAACCCCTGGGCCACTAGCCTGGCTTTGTATAGGTTTTGGCCACCCTCAAGGTTCTTGACCTTGAAGATCCATCGGGTGCCTATCGCGCTTTTGCCCTCAGGGACCTTGGCTGGGGTGTAGACCTCTAGTTCTCTCAGACTGTCCAGTTCTTTGGCCATGGCGGACTCCCACCTTGTTCTCTCCTCTTGAGGTAGCCTTAATACCTCTTCGTATGAGTTTGGTGTGACGTGGTTCGTGTGTATGTGCATCACGTAGTCATTTAGCCTCCTTGGCAACTGGTTCCTGGTTGACCTGACCGGTCTGTCTATTGTCTGTTCGGTGTCATGTAAGTACCTGGCCTCCCTTTGTGTCAGCGAGTCTACACTTATTTTGGGATGGTTCCCTTTCCACTCCCCAATTTTGATGCCTTGGAGGTTGGGTTTGGGTCCCTTCTTTTCCTGTCTATTCACCTTTTCGTGTTTGTCTTGTGCTTGCTCGTCTGGCCTACTTTCTAGCTTGTTGGGCACCTCGTTCAAATGTATCCTGGACCAGTTGGCTTGCTCATGGAATGCCGCTGTCCTAGATACCACGAACCTGTCGTTACTGTCCACAAACCTGTAGCCCTTGGTTCCCGGTTCATACCCCATGAACCTCAGTCTTCTGGATACTTTGTCCCCTTTTCTGCGCAGCTGTTTGGGAATGTGGACATCGGCGGTTACGCCGAATACGTGTAAGTGTGCTATTTGTGGTTTTTTGTTGTACATGAGCTCGTATGGCGTTTTGTCTATCACACTGGACCATGTTCTGTTAAGTGTGTAGTTGGAGTAAACCAAGGCCTCAGACCAGAAGTGTTGGCCAATGCCCGCGTCCTCTAAGGCGCACCTGACCATTGTTTGCAGCGTTGAGTTTCGTCGTTCTGCGACCCCGTTCTGAAAGGCCGAAAATGGGGACGACGTAAAGTGAAGCACGCCCTTGGATCTGAGCCAATGGGAGAAGTCCCTTGATAGGAACTCGGACCCTCTGTCAGTCATGATTTGCTTGATTTGGGCGTTGTTCTGTGTCTCTACCCTTTTGTAGAACTCTTTGAATTTTTGGAAGGCCTCATCCTTTCTCTTTAGGGTATAGACGAAGCCATATCGACTATAATCGTCCACGATGGTGAGAAAGTATCTTTTTTTGTATTTTATGGATGGCCTTAGGGGCCCTACCAAATCCATGTGGACTAAATTGAATATCTGTTTGGCGGCGCGTGATGACTTCTTAGGCCTGGGTTTGACCTTTAACTTAGAACATTTGCACACCGAGCACTCGAGGTAGTTTTCACAGCTCTTTATTTTGATGCCCTCGGTACAGTTGGCCATTTTTTGGATTACGGGGAAACTTGCGTGCCCTAGCTTCCTGTGTAATAGGTGTGCACAGTCGTCGTGCATGGGCTTGCCTATCGAGGGCCCTCTCTGAGTGTGTCTGCTGTGTCGTGTCTCTAGTGTCGTGTTCTTCTTGTTCTCTACCTCTCCCTCATCTACCTGTCCTCCTTCAATTCTGTTCTGGTTAAGGTCTTCTATGCTTTCCGAGCTGGCGTATATGCTGTGTGTGCTACCCTCAAAGAACGTTACATGAGGTAACCCTTGACTGATGGTCACTCTCCCTATGTCCTTTCCGCCCTTGCTGACTTGAACATTCCCTTCCGTAAAGGTCACCTTAACCCCTGATTCCTTGCTGAGTTTTACTGCGGCCAATATGTTGTGGGGTATCTCCGGGACCAGCAGTACCCCCTCTATTTCCCCTACTCCTGGCAATATAACTGTCCCCTTGCCTATTACCTTAACCTCGCTTTGGTCTGCAACCTTGATTGAGAAATCCTCTCTTTGGAACGATGAGAGAAGTTTCTGGTTGTATGTGGTGTGGTTGGAGGCTCCAGAGTCTAGGAGCCATGAATTGGTGTCTCTGCCCTGATGTGTTATGTGAGTGCGTTCTCCTATCCCATATAATGACCCCGTTCTGCTGTCACGTGAGCTGTCTCTATTCCCTCTTCTATCCCTGGGGTTGGGTGAATCTCTGCGCCTGTATCTCTCCTCAGAGGTGCGTCTCTCTGTTTGCCTGAACCTATGTTCAGGTCTGCCTCTCTCCCTGTAGTTCTTGGGGCAGTCTCTCTTGAGATGCCCCCTTGATCCACAGATATAACACTCTGATATGTTGTGTTGTTTCTCTTGGAAGACTACCCTTTTCTCGCTCTTATGCTCTGTGGAGGGGCCAGAGCGCCTCCTCTTGAGATTGTCTTCTGCTATGAGTTTGTTGGACAGCTTTTCCACGGATAGCAGGCCTAGGCTAATGGTATCTAAGTGTGATAAGAAGCTGTCCCATGAGTGATCTAAAGAGTTAATTATTACACTCTTCATGATCTGATCGGATATGACCTCCCCCCTAAGGTGGAGTTCTGCTCTGGTAGCGCTTAAGGACACTAGGTGCTCACTTATGGGGGCCCCTGGTTTTAGTCTGGCAGAGAAGAAGTCTTTGGAGATCTGGGTAGTGGTGGACACACTCTCACTGTAATACAACCCAAACATTTTCTGTATGATTTCAGATACTGTGAGATTATGACCAATGCAGTGATAGATCGTGGGAGATATGCTTGCAATTAAAAGGTAAAAAGCCCTATGGTGCGTACAGTCCAATTCCAAGGACCAAGGTTTCTCTGGGGGGTCATTAATAAAATGTGACATATTTTCTTTTAGGAACACTACCAGGAGCTGCTGTGACCACTCTACGATATTGCCCCCATCCATCCTCAACTTAGGAAAGTCACTCGGTAAGTTCCCAGCATTATTTGTAAAGTTACTTACTGCTGGCTGCTGTCCATGGTTCCTTATGTGCCTATAACAGCAATACGGCATGGGAACGCTAGCCGGCATTTTAAAAGTCCCGCTTTGCGATTTTTTTCTCTTTTCTTCTTCTAGGCGGAAGAGCGCATGCGCGAAGTCCATTTCTGCCCTGCCGTCGTCGAGGAAGGACCTGTTCATCGCGGCTCCGGCGTAGAGGTCTCCATCGGCTGGGTAGGCCTCGACTTCGGTCTTGGGGGTCCAGGTGCGCTCCGGATGGTGGCGGTCAGCAGCGGCTTCATCAGGGTGACGATCCTGGCGGTGCTGGGGTCTCGGCGACGAAAGTAAGTAGCTGGCCCAGTCCCTGCGTTCTGGGGTGCGCGGTCCGGGCGATCGGCGGCGCGGTGTCCTTGGGGTGCGCAGGGGGCTTGGTGTGCTGGCGTGGGCATCGTCGACCCTCGGGTGGGCGTTCCGGTGCCCCTCTCCTCGCCTTCCCTTTCGTTTGGGCCCTTCCGGATCCCTTCTTGTGACTTTGAGGCCCGGGCCGAAGGCGGCGGCGAGGGTCCTCATGGCCTCGTCGACTTGCCGTTCGGTTGGGGGGGTCCCCGCGGCCCGAATCGGACTCTGCCCCCTCGCCCCAGTCGTTTTCATCATCGCTTGGGGTCGGATATTTTTCGCGCGCCGGCCATTTTGAATCCCGGCTTCTGATTGGGCGGGGGTCGGCCATTTTGCCCGACCACGTGGTCAAAGATGGCCGCCGTTTTGAATTTAGCGCGGGGCTGTGGGGCTCGGTGACCGTAGTGGGGTCGTTCTGGGGCGATCCACTCACCGAATTCAGTTCTTCGGGCTCCGGGTCTGAGTCTTCCTCGCTCCCCGCCACCTCGCGGTCCATTATGAAGCTTCGTAGGTCCGCGAGGAGATTCTTGTCATTGGCTCGCTCTTTTAGCAGCCTCAGGACGTCGATTCTCAGTTTTTCTTCCTCTTGATCACTGGGATTCGTTATTTCCCTTTTGTTGGTCTCCCTCCTTTCCTCCGATGTGGTGGCTTTGGGATCAGTCTTGGTTTCTGCCTTCCTAGGCGATCCTGCTGGGTTGCTGTCCCTTTGCTTCGGTGGAGTTGCCATCTCGTAGGCAGTGATGTATCTTCGTTGTGGGTTCGGAGGTTATTGGGCCATCCAACCATCCTCTGCTACCAAATTGTTACAAGGATTCATGGATCAGGCCCAACAGCAAGACATGAGTCAGTAGATTAATTAAATCTCTTTTATTCACAGGATCATCTCAACAACACTTGCAACATCTGGATCTGAAGAGCGAGGAGGAGCGTGCCCACCTTTTATGCCAGAAGGCGGAGACTTAGGTAAGGAGGGGTTAGTGGGAGGAGCTGGACAGGTGGGAGTTTGGATTAACCCCTGCACTGCTGCACTATAGCTGACCCCTGGCACAGTTAAGGCATTTACCCTTGACATATATAAGTCTAAGTGCTACTGCTATTGTTTCTCCTTGTCCCCCAATCTTCTCCACACATTCCATGGCAACCACTGATCAATAGTCCTTTATCTTCTCTCTCTCTCTCTCTCTCTCTTTTTTTTTTTGCTTCTCATTCAGCTCTTCAGACCTGAAGAAGCTTCTTGGATGAGAAGCAAAATGTCTTCAAAGAAAAACCAGAAAGTCCAGTTGCCTCTTGAAAAAAGCATCTTTGGGACATACGCCACAGTGGCACAGTGGTTAGAGTACAGTACTGCAGGCTACTTCTGCTGACTGCCGGCTGCCAACAATTCAACAGTTCGATCCTGACCGGCTCAAGGTTGACTCAGCCTTCCATCCTTCCGAGGTGGGTAAAATGAGGACCCAGATTGTTGGGGGGCAAGAGGCTGACTCTGTAAACCGCTTAGAGAGGGCTGTAAAAGCACTAGGAAGCGGTATATAAGTCTAAGTGCTAATTGCTATTGCTATACCAAATGACGTTGCTGAAATGCAATAATCACAAACATCCTTTCAGGATCCTGTACAGGTAGTCCTCGGCTTACAATCATTCACTTAGTGACCATTCAAAGTTACATCAGCACTGAAAATAGTGACTTGTGACCGTTTATAACACATTCACTGTGGCATCTCCGTGGTGACAATTCAGAAGCTCAGCCATAGACTCATATTTAGGACGGTTGCAGTGTCATGTGATCCCCTTTTGCGACCTTCTGACAAGCAAAGTCAATGGGAAAGCCAGATTCACTTAACAACTGTGTTACTAATTGAACGGCTGCAGTGATTCAGTCTTAACTGAACTGCAGGAGGAAGTTAAGGTAACAACTGGGGGAGGAAAGGCCATAAAATGGAGCAAACTTTATTTAACAACTGTCTTGCTTAGCCACAGAAATTTTGAGCTCAATTGTAGCCATAAGCTGAGGACTACCTGTATGGCTTGGGCTGCACAATGCTCACAGAGACACAGCCGTTACACAAGCATGCCTTTTTCACACATTAGAACAACCCAGGGGTGAAATGCTCCTGGTTCGGACTGGATCGCCCGATCTGATAGCGATAGAGGGGGGTGGTTCAGAGAACCGGTAGCAAAAATCCATGCCCTGCCCCATGCCCAGCTGAGCCGCGCGATCATCAGAGGCTTTTTTTCTTTTAAAAGCCTCTGACGATCCCAGCTGAGTTGCCTGATTGGCAGAGGCTTTTTTAAAAAAGCCTCTGCCGATCAGGCAACTCAGCTGGGATCGTCAGAGGTATTTAAAAGAAAAAAAGCCTCTGATGATCAGGCAACTCAGCTGGGATCATCAGAGGCATTTAAAAGAAAAAAAGCCTCTGATGATCAGGCAACACAGCTTGGATCGTCAGAGGCATTTAAAAGAAAAAAAGCCTCTGATGATCAGGCAACACAGCTTGGATCGTCAGAGGCATTTAAAAGAAAAAAAGCCTCTGATGATCAGGCAACACAGCTTGGATCGTCAGAGCCTTTTGAAAACATTTTTTTACAACCTCTTTTAAAAGTTAAAAAAAAAAAGGCAACGCCCACCCAGTCACATTACCTCCCCACCAAGCCACGCTCACAGAACCGGTAGTAACAAATGATAGATTTCACCATTGGAACAACCTCAAATATACCAGCAACCTCGAGCATCCTTGGCTTAGTGGGAAATCACCAGCAAGTGAAATATTTGGATGGGGTGTTCTTTTTCAGAGAAAGGAAATTATTTATTCAATGTCAAGGCAGGAAAAGGAAGCTGGAGTGGGAACAGTAGACTCTGGCCAGCCTCTTTGGCTCTGAATTGTGGGAGTTGAGAACTTTTCCTGGTCCCAAATTCTCTTGATTTATGTTTGCACCATACAAATGTCAGGTTCAGCCCCAAATTCTCACAAGCCCTCCGACTTTATATTGTTGGCCTCCTACACATCGCTGGACAAAACACCATGTTAATCACAGCTGTTATCAGAGACTGAGCTGGTCTCCACTGGAGAAATAATTGATATCCAGAGTAAGGTGGAGCCTGGGAAACTGAAAGAAAAGGAACTATATTCAGTTCATTTGTTTTTTTCAAAATTATATTGTTTCTTAAGGGGAGGTTTTTTTTTCTTGTTTTTCTTGTTTGTAAAACTTTATGTTGCTTCAATACGACGATACAGGTATTCCTCAACTTATGGTCAAAACTGAGTCAAAAATTGCTAAGCAAGACAAGAGGCAACTAAACTTTCTGGCTTTTTCTTTGAAGACATTTCGCTTCTCATCAAAGGAAAAACCAGAAAGTGCAGTTGCCTGTTGAAAAAGCACCTTTGGGACAACCATGATCTGGATGACTGAGAATCGACACTAAGCAAGACAGTTATTGGACAAGTTTTACCCCATTTTACGACTTTCCTCACCAGTCATTCATGTCTCACTTAGCAGCACAAATTTTGGGCTCAATTATAGCAATAGCACTTAGATTTATATACCGCTTCATAGTGCTTTTACAGCCTTCTCTAAGGGGTTTACAGAGTCAGCCTAATGGCCCCAAAAATCTGGGTCCTCATTTTACCCACCTCGGAAGGATGGAAGGCTGAGTCAACCTTGGGCCAGTGAGATTTGAACTGCTGAACTGCAGCTAGCAGTCAGCTGAAGTTGCCTGCAGTACTTGCACTCTAACCACTGTACCACCTCAGTTTACAGTTGTAAGTCAAGGAGTATCTGTACTATTCGGGATGTCAGGATTAAGCAGGGTTAGATTATTTGACTTTTTCATCCAGACTTGAATATAGTTATGTATGTTGTTGAATCTTTTCGTGAAAAAAATACCAAAAATAAAAAATCAAGTTTACTCAAGGAAGAAAGAGCAACAGAACTGCCAATAAATACCTACTGAGCAAGTATTGGTGATCTTAAGAGAAATGCCACAATGTTTAACATCCATCTTTAGTATTTCTACTCAGAGCACACAGTAGTTCTCAACTTACAGTTGGGACTAAAAATTTCTAGTGCAAAAATAACACCTATTTTGCCATGGTTGTTAAGTGAATCATATGGTTGTTAAATGAATCTTGCTTCCTAGCAAGCAAAATAGTGGAAGATCTATAACCCCGGGACACTGCAACCGTCATAAATATGAGTTCATTGCCAAGAAGCCAAACTGTTGATCACATAACATGCTGCAGTGGTCATAAGTGTGAGGACCGGCAGTAAACCATTATTTTCAGTGTCATTATAATTTCAAATGGTTGCCAAAGGAAAGATTGTAAGTTGAGGACTTCCTATATCATTAAGAAGTATTAATGAAGGTGGCTTAGAAAATGGAGTTCACATTCGAATAAAAGACTCCTTAACAGAGAAGTCCTCAAAACGTTTTTATGGCCATGTTAGTTTTTTTATCAAAGCCGTTTCTCCCATTTTTAAACATTATCGATTCAAAGAAAGATGTGTATTACTTTTCCAATATTTTGCAATTGTAAATCTACCAATGAAAACAAAGGGAAGAAAAATACTCTATGCCTCGTGTTGCAAGTTTATAAATCTTGGAAACGTCCTATCAGCCAATGGGAGAGTTAATTAGAAAAAAAATTGTTCAGTAGTTTTTTTCAATTTCCTTGAAAACCTGCCAGCAAAATGACCACGTTTTCCCATTTTCAACCATGTGGAGAAAATCTTTTCTCAGGATATTCCCCAATCTTGCCTTTTGGAGGAATCTAAAGCTCCATAATCCTGAGCCAGCAAACTGGCAGGGGATTATTGGATGCGATGTCTAATGCAGGGGACAAGAACAGCGTTTAAAGAATTGCATTTGGTAAAAAAAAGATGTCAAAAGTTGCAAGGCCCCCTACATTATAAATATATTACGAAAGCTATTTTTCCTGCCTCAGGCCCCAGCAGTTATAATGTTGGAACTGGTGAGAAAAACAGCAATGAAAATACTTGCCTATCTTATATTTAAGGTCATCAATAACATTTTTCATATACAGGTAGTCCTTGACTTACAGCAGTTCATTTAGTGACCATTTGAAGTTACAACGGCACTGAAAAAAGTGACTTATTGTTGTGGCCTGTCAGCAGCCTGTGCAGATTGTAGCTGATTCTGACAGCGAGGAGGCTGGTGTGGTGCTGCGCCAGCAGTCTGTGCAGCTGGCGCTCGAGTCGGACAGTGAGGAGGCTGGAGAAGATGTGGTGCCAGAGGCGGGGATTCAGCCAGGGCCTTCAGAACCTCCAGAAGCTCCCATAAGTGAAGAGGATGAAGAGGAGGAGCCTCTTCTCAATGCACGAGCGCGCAGAGCTGCCAAAATGCAGGAGTGGCTCCTCAGGAGGAGGTCTCCTCGAGAGTAAGGCTTGGGGCTAATTGGCCACTCCCTTAGTCTATTTAAGGAGGAACGCCGACTGAAGCAATTTGCAGGGAACAACTTTAGTTGACTCTACTTCGCGTCTGGATTCTCTGCAAATTGCTTCTGGGCTTTCTGCCAACCTTCATAAGATTGTGATTACTTTATTTTTGGTTTCTTATAGGCTATTTCTTAACAGCCTTTGTTTTGAAAAAGACTGAGTTACTTTAATAAATTAAGTTTTGTACAAAGTGTGTGCTGTATTCTTTGGGGTCCGTAGCCGGGGCAGAACACTTATGACCATTTTTCACATTTATGACCATTGCAGCATCCCCATAGTCATATGATTTACATTCAGATGCTTGGCAACTGGTTCATATTTATGACCATTGCTGTGTCCTAAGGTTATGTGATCCCCTCTTGGGACCTTCAAAGGCAATGGGGGAAGCCAGATTCACTTAACAACTGTGTTACTAATTTAAAAACTGCAGTGATTTGCTTAACAAATGTTGCAAGTAAAGTCCTAAAACGGGGCAAATGATTAACAAATTTATCACTTAACCACATAAATTTGGGGCTGAGAGAGAGGGAAGGAAGAGTAGGGAGGAAGGAAGGGAAGGGAAAGCAGAGTAGGAGAGAAGCTAAGACAGGGGGGAAGAGAGGAGGAGA